GACTGCAGGGAGTGAAGCCAGCAGCTGGATCCCGATGGAGCAGACACGCTTGCATTGGTGGGTCCGGGAGGCAAGGGAGCAGGCAGCAGCCAATCACAGCCCAGCTTCTGTGATCCCAACAGGATCTTTCACATGACAGCCAATCCAGAGCCAGCTGGAGCAGCAGGAGCAGGAGGTGCAGTGCCAGTACAGCCAGTCACAGCTCTGCTTTGGTGGGTAGGAATGCTCTGACAACCAATTGTAGCCCAGGTTCCAGGAGGATTTTCCACAGGCAGCCAACCACAGCTTGGCCCTTCATGGCGGTGATCATGCAGAGCAGCCAGTCAGGGAGCAGGTCTCTGGAGGGCGCAGGTGGTCCAGGGTGCTTGGGGACCTGCTGAGCCCCACTGGGATCCAATGCATCCCATTACTGCAGGGGAACCGGTGCTGCAAGGGGCCCAATGAGCCCCAGTGCCACAGAGCAACCTGACGAACCCCAGTGCCATGGGGCATACAGTGAGCCACAGTGCCAGTTCGGTCCCTGAAGCCTCTCACCACCAGTGTCTGAAAAGCAGCGCAGCTTTCTCTTTGCTCAGGGTGCCCCCAGTGAGTGGGGCTGCTCTAGGACACGCACGCAGGGGGCAGGAACAGCCCAAGCAGGTAGACATCAACATGCCAGACAGCCCTGCCGGCCTCAGAGACAAGCAGCTTGTCCTCAGGCAAGAGGGCAGAGGTGGGATGCCTAACCAACACCAGGCCAAGAGGAGGATGAGCCAGAGGGGCAGGGAGGCCAGGCCAGAAGGGCCCCTCAGGGCACACATGAGCAGTCATGCTGGAGATGAACTGAGCATTGTCCTCAGATTCTGCAGGCCCACAGAGGTGCTGAGCATGGAGGGAACGTCTGCAGCACAATGGTGCATAGGATCTCACCAGGTGGGCACCAGCCTAGGCCTTCCTGACTTTCACAAGAAGATCAGTGCAGCCATTCCCTACCACTGAAAGCATTCTGAAAGCACCCTGCCGTCTGGCCCACCCCCGTCCCTCCCTCCCAGGCCACCCAGCAACAGAGCTCGCTCTGGCAGGTTTCTCTACAGCACCCTGTGAAGGCTGCCAGGCCTCTGGCTCAGCACTGGCATTTACCTTTTTTGCACTTGGCTTGGCCCTGAGTTGGGCCCCAGCAGAAAGTGTTCCCCACCCTGCCTTGAAAGTAGCTCCGGAGGGCAAGTTCTTACTGCTCCCTGGCACGACCAGATCCTACTGCACCGCTCACAGCCCCTCCTCCAGTGCAGACCCCAGTGGGGCTGTGCCCCCTTCTTCCTCTTCCAGTGCCCTCCCATCAGCACGTCCACACTGATGATGAAACCAGCTCTCCTGTGACCCCTCAGGACAGGGACTGTCCCAAGCCCACAGTGAGAACAAGGCAAGACAGGCTCCAATGCCCAGCTGACGCAAGCTCTCTGGTATTAAAGGGGTGCAGGCACTGCACCACAGCTGCACTAGGCTCTGTGGGTGCAGGTAAAGACAGGCAGGGCCCTGCACGAGGGCCCCTGAGCACATTTCAAGGCTCTGTGGCTCCAACAGCGGCGAAAGGGACGCAAGTGCTCACCTGGCTGGCAGCAGCTTCGGCAGAGGGGGTGCGCTCGGCGCGGTGGTCTGAGGGATGTCCTGGCAGGGGTCTCTCCACAGGAGAGTTCCTCCGGCGGTAGAAGAGGACATAGGCGTATCTGGTCACCACCTGGCTCTCATCCACCGTGGTGACTGTGCTGTCATCAAAGAGCCGCCAGCCTGAGGAGGAGGCAGGGTTAAGCAAGCAGACAAGCCACGGCTGCGGGAGCAGAGGGGCGGTCAGAGGGACAGATGCTCACCCACGTCGCTGCGCTGGCTGTTCTTGTCGTTGGGCAGGCGGGCGTACGCTGTGTAGTGCCCTCCAATCATGCCTCCATAGTGGTTGATCACAGCATACAGGTCATACATAGGCAGCTGCTGCTCACCCTTCCGACCAATGCAGAACTTGCTCAGGTCCAGACTCCTGTAGAGAGATACAGTGACCGTGAAGGGTGATCAGTTTTATGCAGGCTGGGTTGCAGGTCAGCAGAAGCAGTGCCAACCCAGGCACACCATGCCCTGGGCTCTCACCGGACAGGAAAGTCCACCATGTCATTGATCTTGTCCCTCCAAATAAAGCTGCGGAAGGAGAAGCGCTTGAGCTGGATGATGAGGACGTTGGGCAGCCGCCACAGCATCAGCTGCTTGGAAGCCTCGCGGTGCTGCTTGCACTTGGGGCAGTACCTGGGGGAAGAGTGTGCTCGTTACTGGCACGGAGAGAGCCTCAGTCCTTGCAGCCCAGCCTAGCCCCAGGGTCCCCACATGCAGGGCTGGCAAAGGGTATGTGGGAGGGCTCAGCCTGCTCTGTCAAGGGCAGGCCAGTACAGCCCTGCAGAGCATTAGCTTTGCTCCCTGCTGGCTTAGCCCTTCCGAGTGCACAGGCAAAGCCAGCCCATTGTTCCTGGCTGCCAGCCGAAACAGCATGCAGGCCTGGGCAGCTCCTGGGAAACCCCTGCTGCTGTCTGGGCCTGTTGGCTGGAACCCACCCTGCTGCCTTCCTCACCACGCTTCCTCTGGGGCCAGGACTTCAGGCTTCGTGAAGAGATTGAGGCACTGCTCCAGGGTGAAGTGGCCAGCCCGGGCTGCTTCGCTGGCTGAGCCTGGATCCTCCACACACTCCAACTCCTTGGATTCTACCAACACGAATTCCTTGAGGCGCTCATTGTTCTTCCACACCAGGGCAAGGGAGCAGTCGTCTGTCAGATCCAGGGGGATGTCACCTGTGAAGGGGCACAGACCTCAAACACTTACCCCACCAGGCTAGACCAGGCCACCTTGCTGGAGCAATCCTGCCCATCCCAGTTAGATACAGAAATCAAAAAGTGCTGCCAGAAAGAGACAGGTACCCCCCTGGCTAGGTTCATCATGCAGAGCCCCTCAGCCTGCAGGGTGCAACACTGGCACAGCCCTCTCATCAGCAGCATCCTCACAACTAGCATTTGTTGTGGGCATCCCATTCAAACAAAGAGGTGACCCAGAGATCACAGACCCTCTGAGAATACATGAGGCTGGAAGGAATTGGTCTATTTGCTGATGAGAGCAGGAATGTCATGCTCAAGAGGAGCTTCTAGACAGAGGCTCTGCAGCAGAGCCCTTCCCTCCCCTGTCATATGCAGCTTTTACTGTCCAGTGTGGACACCTGGGCTCATCTTGTGCCAGGCAGACTCTGGTACCCTGGCCAGGCATATCCACTACCCCGCCAGAGGCTGTAAGGGATGAAGGTGGTGCTTTACAGGGCTCTGGCTCACCTTTATCTTCCAGCTTGTGCTCTCGGTTGGCAGCGTCGATCTTAGTGATGTAGAACTGCGTGGCGCGGGCACTCAGTGAGTCTGGAGTGTGTTGGTACCCAGGGATGGCAGCTGTGAAGAGGCAGGGACAGATCTGTGGTGGCACTGCCTGTCTGCCCTGCGTAGGGGCCAAGAATTTGCAGCGCCCCCACCCCCACCTCACATGCTACGGCCTTGAAGGGACACAACCACGTGCCCGTGTCCTTGACTATTTTTAGCAGGCGCCTGCCCCTGGCAAGCTGTGCTCCTCTGCCTGCCTTGCCCCTTCACTGCACATTGCTGCCATCCTGAGACGAGTGTCTGGAAACGTGACAGCCAGGCAGCCGAGCGCGAGAGGCTGGTCCCATGCAGCTGAGTCAGAGCCAGCCAAGTGCTTTGCTCACAGCCCCCAGGGGCTCAGCCTGCACCAGCTCTGCCTTGCTCCCACAGGACTTGTGCCAGCCCCTGCATTCCCACCTCTCCCACAACAACACAGGACTCCAGCCTCTCTGCTCATCAGGTCTCTGCTCTACACCCTGGGCTTTGCCAGGGCAGGGCAGAGCGTGGGTAGACAGGCATTTCAGGTGAGGCAAGAGTGCCAAAACAAAGCTCCCATGTCCTCATCTGTGATCCCAAGAGTCTCCAGACCAAGCTCACAGGTGTAGAAGAGATGCTGTGCTGGAAGGTCACCCCAAGGAGGGAGAATTGCCCGAGGTCCTGGGACCGACACAGCCAGCGCTTCAGCACCTCTTACCTTCTGGCTTGAGGGCTCTCTCATAGGATGGCTCCTTCTCACAACAGCTGTCACCCTGTGACTCCATGTGCTCAGAGAACCCTGAATCCAAGCTCAGGAGGGAACTCCTGGCTGTCAGGGCCTTGCTCCGGACAGTGGTAGTATCCCCCATCTCTGGCTGCAGCTCAGGCACAGCTGGGGAGAGCGGGGGCTCCTGAGGGAGGCTGGAAACCCTGTCCCCATCTCCCAGCTCGGGGGCAGAGGTGGCTGCTGCACAGCTGCTCTTGGCCAGGGGCTCCAGCTTGTCCGAGTGCAGCGGCTGCAGCCCCTGCTCCGGTGACATCCGGCCCAACTGGAACGGAGGCTGGAACACGCTGACTGAGTACCTGGGCATGGAGGTGGGAGTTAGAGCTGGCCAGACACGGGGCTGAGCTCAGCTCAGGGGCAGAAGCACCCTCCTTCCCCAGACTCTCACCTGGCATAGCCCTCCAGCAGCTGGGCCAGGCGGGCGTAGGTGAGGCGGGACTCGGGCACGCTGATGAGGAAGGGAAAACCGATGTTCTCAGGACGGCACGAAGCCTTGTGGTCTGGCCAGTGTGTTTTCTGACATGCCCTGTAACACATACACGGCATGTCAGACATACAAACAGCCCCTGCTGAACTCAGCATCCTTGAACAGCCTGGGAAGGAGCAGTGCAGGGCCAGAGGAGTGTGCTGGGGACAAGGGGAACACCAGGAATTCAACTGGCTCCATCCCAAAGGGCAGATCCATCCCACCTTCTCCCAGCAGGCAGAGCTCTCCCACCAGCCCTTCACAGCAGGAGATCCTCCATCCCTGCCAGGCACCAAGCCAACTCACACGTTGCAGTAACCAACTCGATAGCACCTCGTGCAGCGCTTGAGCTTCTCATCCTCTGGCAGCTGCTTCTTCTGGCAGGCTGCACACTTGGCAACAGGGCCACTGGGCACCTGTGGACGCTGCAGGAGAAAGGACCCGTTGGACAGGGAAGGGCACCTGGGCAGGACAAGGTGGGCATCCATGCTCGCTGTAGCTAACTGCCCTTGTGTGCAGTTCTGCCCCTCCTACTCAGGGCTCAGCCTTCCTGCATCCCTCCCAGTAGTCCCAATATGCCTTCTTACCTGCTGGACCTGCAGCTCCACCACACGCTCCTTGGCCAGCTCTGGGGACAGCACCTCAAAGCACAGCAGCAGGTCCGTTGGCGAGACTGTGTCTAGTGAGTTAGAGGGCAGGAACATGCGGTGGAAGTGATTCTTGATCACCTGCCAGGAAAGCAGTGGAGCATGGCCGTGTGAGGGCTGCCCTATGTGTCCTCTCCTCAGAGAGCCACAGACCTCAGTCTCACAGTGAACTGCTGTGGGAGGAGCAGCAGCCCAAGGACGCTGTGCTCATCTCACCACCTCACAAGGGAAAGATGGACATCCCCAGGCCCCACTGTGGTGGCCCAACCCTCCAGAGGAGGTATCTGCCCAGCACTCTCACCTCTGCCAGGCGCAGGTTCTCTGGTTTCACACGCACACTGTGGGCAACTGAGTCAAGCACCTCCATGGCACTGGAGTTCTCCTTGCTGATACTCACGAGGAACTGCCACCGAGAAAGTGCCACATTAGTCACAGCACACTAAGGCCTGAGGGCCCTTACTCAACACAGGGCTTGGCCAGTTGGCACATGACCAGCTGCCTGGGGCACCTCCAGGAGCCTTCTTCGGCTCCCTCCCCAGGGTAAAGGTATCCTTTACCTTGATGGGTTTCTTGTGTGGCTCCTTTGCAAAGTAGTAGACAGTCAGCACTTTTTGCTTCTGTGGGAGGGGCACGGGGAGATACAGGAAGGGGTCAAAGGTAATAGACACCTGCAGAACAAAAACACACTCAGCTGTGGGAAGTGCTTGTGGCTGAGCAGCAGATCCAGTGGACCCAGCCTTGCCCTGCGACCTGTGCTCTCTGAGTGTCACGAGCCCACTTCTGCACAACCAGGACAGGGACAGAACCTTCAGGGCTGCCCTACCTTGGAGCACATTGGGCAGACGAGCTTGGATTTGTACTGGCCCTGGAAGAGGTCTACTATGAACGAGTCATTCCTCATCTTGTGTCGTTGCCAAGCCTCCTCAGCTACCACCTGCAGGAAGAAAGGGCTTAGCACCTCATTAAACCACCCAGGCTGCTCTCCCTGGTGACTCTGTGGGAGGAACACCCTCACCTCATCAGGCCTCCCATCCGAGTCAACAGTCTCTGTGTAGGGCTTGTTCTGGATGCGGTTGAGGTCCTCGTGCAGGCCATCGAGCAGGAAGGCCATGAACTCCTGAGCATCATGCTGGGCATAGCCAGTGAACTGGCTGGCCTTGCTGGCCACAATTGCCTGTGGGTAGCACAGCAGTCAGGGCTGGTCAGCAGAGCTCTGGCAGCACTGCCTCCCCCATGCACAAACCCTGGCTGCACCCACAGCTCTCTGTGGCACTTGCAGGGCAGCCAGGTGCCCACAAAGGAATGCTGGAGACCCACAGCTGCTCCTGTGAGCACCAATGCCAGGGCCTTACCTTCAGTTTAGAGGGCTGGAAGGCATGGTGTGTGCCCTTCCACAGCGCTCTGAGCAGCATGGCAAAGCCGATGGCCAGGCGTCCACCCGTCCCCAGTGGGTTGTTATAGTTGATTTCTGACTCAAAGGACCGATCTGCAAGAGATGCAGGAGCTCAGGGTGGCTGCTGGCTTTATAATCTAAGTGGTGAAGCTCTGCTGGGCTCCCCGTGTGGGCTCACCATGGAAGTAGTCACGCAGCTCCCGGGTGTTGGACAGGGACTGGATGACACTGTTCATGAAGCAGGTGTTGCCCAGGTTCACCAGACCTGTGAAGCCAGGCAGGCAGACCTTCTTCTTCTCATCCTCATCCTCATCATCCTCCACGCTCTCGGCACTCACTGGGCTGTGTGTCATTGGTGGCACCATACATGTTGGTTTGGGCTGCCAAAGCAGAGGCAGGTGTGAGGGTGTGGCACTCAGGGAGTGTCTCTGGGAACACCAGAGGAACTCAAAAGCCCAAGAAAACCCCTAGAGAGGGTTGGAGCCATTACACCATCTCCCACTTGGACTGGGACAGACAGGCCAACAGTTGCCCCCAATCCTGCCAACTATGAGTGAGGGGCACCACGTCCTCCTCTGGGAGTACTTCTGTCTCCAGAGTGGCACTGAGGAGGTGTCTCTCTTTCCCCTATCCAAGTCAGATCCAGTGTGACCACACTCACCGAAGGAATGTGTGGCTCTTGCTTCACTGCCAAGTGCTCTGGGGCCGTACGGGCTGCCACACCATCCAGAGCCCCATCTTCCACACGTGGCTTCTCTTTGTCGCTGGTTCGGGCCTCTTCCTTGCTGGAGAGGGGGTGCTGGTTACTGCCCGGAGGGTTCTTATCCAGAGGGGTAGGGCCTGTAGGCATGGCAACCTTTGCACCACCCACTGCACCTTAAAAAGGGGGAAGGGTGGGCCTGTGGTTAGCAGCACCACACATTGCCCACAGCGGGGCTGAACTGTTCAGTCCACAATTGCACAGGCTCTCTCCTACCCGTGAGCAAGGGAAACAGCAGCGCCCTTCCCCTACACTTGGCTCACACCCTGCCTCACATCCCTCCCACCTGCACCCACTCAGCCCCTCTCCTTCCCCACCATTCTGTGCCAGAGGATGCAGCACCAGCTGGCAGTGGTGAGGAGGGCCCATGGCCCCCTGCAGTGCAGCAGGCAGGCAGGACAGAAGGCAGGACAGAAGGCAGGGTGCAGACCTCGTGTGGCTGGAGCCTCCAGCCCCCCCCAGCGCTGGCTCTGGCGTTTCTTCAGGCAGACATCGATGCGAGACACCGTGAAGTTGTACGTGCATTGGTCCGGCTCAATAAGGTTCCTGCAAGGCACAAAGCAAGTCAGAGATGCCCCAGACCCCACAGCAGCCTCAGACATGCCAAGGCCTTTGCATGGCAGGCCCATGGCCTCCAGGCAGCAGGGACCCTGCTAGCACAAATCCTGAGGTAGCCCTGACAAAGCAGGGTGGAAACCCTCGAGCCTGGCCACACTGAGCACACAGAGCACCCCTTTTCTGACAGATCCATTCTGCTTGGCTCTCTCCTGCTGCACATCCTACCAAAAGGGCACACAAGCTGGTCTAGCTCTGTCCCCAAGAGCTCTAGAACAGCCTGGGGCAAACTGCAGGCAAGGAGACACTGGAATTTCCTCCCCTGCAAGCGAGCACAGAGCCAAGACAGAGCAGGCTCACGGCACCAGTGTAGCATGGTGTAAGTGAAACCTCCAGATGAGGAAACGAGCATTCCCCGTACAGAACCTCCAGATGGAACCGGTTCCTGCTCCAGCTCTGCACTCTCACCTCCCCTGCCCTGGTGTGGGTTAGCAGGACAGGACTCATACCTGAGCTTCACCTGCCACCGGAACACCGTGTGGGGCCCACAGCCAGGATGGAGACGAAGGAAGTTCGTATCACTGCAGAGAAACTGGGAGTGAGCAGAGGTGAACAAACAAGTAGCCCAGCTGCAATCAGGAGCTCTGCAGCGGCCTGGCATCATCCCGAGGCAAGCCTGTACCTCGTCTGGAACACTAGTGTGAAGTCTTGTTCCCGGAACAACACCTTGGATGTCTCCTTGTGGATCTCCTTCATATAGACATGCACCACCACCAGATCATTGCCCTTCTCATATGAGTCATTCTTGACAAAGGTCAGGCTTACAAAAGGCTCTGGCTCTGAGTAAGGAAAACCACAGAGAGAGAGGTTATCTTCCTTGCATGTTGGGGCTGCAAGCTAACCCAGGAAAGGTCCTGAGCAGATGGACCTTCCTGACCAGGCTCACCCCATGGGCTCTGGCCACTCACCATCAGCTGCTGCTTCCAGAGCCACGTCGTCCTTGGACCAGTCCCTCTTCTCACCATCCCTGCCCATGGGAGGGGTGGCCACTGGGACGGCCTTAGAGCTCTCTCCCAGGACGGGCAGGCAGTCCCGGCTCCGCAAGGCCTCAGTAGGGCTGCCTGGCTGCAGGACTCTCTTCTCAACACAGGTGGCAACACGATGGGGGAGCACCTCTGTGGTAGCTGCAAGAGGTGGCATCTCCACGGGAACACTCTCTTTGGCCAAAACCACAGCCTTTCAATATAGAAACACACAGTGAGACACAGACACTGTCACCCCTGAGCTGCCCTGGCCCACCCACTGTGGCCCCTGCCAGCCAATCAGGCACAGCTCCATACCACCTGCTTCCCCCACACATCCCATGCCAGCCCAGCCCCACTAGCACCACAGCACAGCAACTGCAGGGTCCTCACTTCACCCTCTCCTCCACCACAGGTTCTCCTGTCAGCCCTCAGCATCCCGGAGCCCACCTCACCCTCATCAGCAGGGCTGGCTCCAGCATCCCCTGCCCAGGGCAGAGGAAGCAGGGGCACCCTGCCCAGCCAGGTGCCCAGGTACCTTCTCGAGTGGCAGCGCGAGGTCTGCCAGGGCCGCGGGTGCATCAGCCTGGCTGGTTCTGCCATTGCGGCGGCTGCCGGCCCTCGTGCCGTGCCCCTTGCTGGGCTCTGTGCCCCCGCTGACCCGGGCATTCGGCTCCTCTTCCGTGGGAGCCACTTTGAGGTACACTGCCCGCTTGGCACTGGGGCCACTCTGTGTCCCTGGGCTGGCTGGGCTCTTCCCTCCCAGGACCTCGCTCCTTCCTGGAGCACGCTTGGGGTTGGAGGGCTCCCGCCGGGATCTCGGTGGCTCTGTGCCTTCAGCCTTCGGCTCTTCAGGGGTCAGCTCTGCAGAAGCAGCCTTCTCCTTCCCGTTCTCCCAGCACACAGCCCCTTTGGCCACTTCTTTGGATCCGTCTTTCCTTTTTTTCTGTAAAAAGCAATGCAGCACAGTGGGACGGTACTCAGGTAGCAGCATCTTTCAGGATCCCTATCAACCCCTCACCCTCACTCCTCCTTCCCAGACTGCACCAGGACTGTACTTCAGAACCTGGGAATGCACGGCAGGCAGAAACAGGGGTATGACTCCCTGGGACAGTGGCAGATGGCTCATGCAGCACGTAGATGACTGACGTGTCCCATGTTGCTCCCTGGGCAGCTCAACAGCAGGGAGCTCGGAGCTTATCCCAGCTCCCCAGGGCTCCATGAGCTCCCTTAATAGACAGATCATTCCCTCCTTACCAGAAGTGAAGACCAGTTATGGAGTGGGATCTTCTTCTGCAGCACAAGCTGGAGAAAGTTGCCCTTCTTGCACTGGATCTTGCTGCAGGAGCTCTCAATCTCCTCATAGAACTGACAGCTCCACTGGCGCCCGTCTGTAAAGCAGAGGGGAACCAGTACCTCAGGCAGTGCTCCAGGCAGCTGTCACCTAACCCACAGCCCCCTTTCACCTGCCCCCAGGATGAAGGAAGCACTCATTCAGAGCCAAGAAGGCTGCAGGCAGGCTGCCACCATACCCCAGGAGCCTTCCAGGGCTCCAGCCAGCTTCCCTGAACTTGCTTTGTACATCTGGCTGGCCTTCTTCCCAGCGGGAAGGCCCTGGGTCTCCCCACCCTCAGAGGCACAGTCACTTTTCCAAAGGATACCCGGCACTGACTCAGCCATCCCAGCAAGCAGGGGACAGAGATGCACTGGCGCAGCCGTGCACATTCGGTCACTTGGCACAGAGGCCAGCTCCTGTCCTCCCCAGCTCTACAATGCTCTCCTATCGTCCCTGTCTGCTGCCTGACTGTGTGCCAGCTGAGAGCAGGGCATTGCCTCTGAGGGAAAAGTTCGATGTCTGCCTGCAGCAACCCCGTGCTTGGCCCAGAGCTGTGCCAAATCCCAATGGACAAATGCTTGCAGCAGTTGCTCCATTCCCATACCTGGTAGTTTGACCACACAGTCCGTGTCAGTGAAATCAGCACGTACATCCTCTGCCTTCAGAGCTCCAGTGCCCAAATTCAACTTGATAATGATCTCATCGGCATTCTGCTTCCAGTCCATCAGCAGCTCTAGGAAAAGGGAGGGAAGTGTCACCCACTTGCTGGGGAATGAGCCTGAAGTGCCCACTCCTTGGCTGGGGAACGCAAGCCTGAACACACACGCAGTTAAGGAGGTCACTGCAGGGAACACAGATCAGGACAATTAAAAGGGACCTGCCCTCATCAGAGAGGCCACAAACAAGAACACATGTTGCAGCAGGGCAGATGACTCCCAGTGGGAACCAGAGAGATCAGAAAGGCAGTGCTGTTCTTGGCAGTGCCACAAGCAGCAGTGGCAGCTGGGAAGAGAGGGTGGCTCCTGCCAACGACCAAGCAATTACTGCTTTCCCAAGGAACGAGGAAGCCACAGAATTACTCTGGGGGATTTAGGTGGACTCTGACCACAATCAGAAATTGCCACTTCCCCTTTGCATATGCAAACCAAGCAGCCCAGCTGCAACCATCAAAGCACTGTACTCCTGCCAGGTGAGCGTGGCTAACAAGGATGAAAGATGTGCAGGCTGGCCAGGGGGCAAGTACGCTGTAATGGGAGAGAAAAGAGTGCAGCACTGATACTCTGGTGCAGGCAGAACTTCCATTGTGTGCCTGCCACACTCCAGGTGTGGCCTTTGATGCCCTGAAGTCTTCAACACAAGGAAGTGATTTTGATCACCTTGACTTCAATCAGGTTTGTTCTACCCCTGGGGCACAAGGACATCCTACTCTGTCCTCAAAGCAGGCCTGGACTTGGACAGAAATCAGCCAATGCTGCCCACAAGGTGACACAGCTTGAGATGTTCCCAGCACAGCATCATGTCCTACTCAGAAACAAGCAGAGCAGGTGTCAGCAGCAAGGTGTCCCAGGCCTGTGCTCAGTGACACTGTGATACCTGAGTTGCAAGCAGCCTGCCACATACCCAGGGCCTCTTCCCTGCAGACAGCCTTTCTCTGCCCCTGGGAAGGCCACATACTGTTAAGATAAACACTGAGGCAAGGGAGTGCTCATGTTAGCTCTGCTCAATGCCAGAGCACTGGACAACAAGGTGAGAGCTTCAGATCCCTTGGCAAGGGCACTCCATGGCCATGCAGTGACAGCTGGCACACACTTCCACTTACCCTCCTCTGAGTCCTTCTCCTGGGCAGTCTCAGCCTGCTCGAGCTCAGGGCGAGACACTGGTGGGCAGAGAAGCAGAGCGCAGCCAGGTCTGTCATTCTGTCACCTCACAACATAGGCCAGCAAGCTGATGCTGAAAATTTCACACATCACCTCTTTCTACCCTGAATCTGTGTCCAGGCCTTTCATCCTGCATGTGCTGCCCACCTCCCTCTTCTGCTTTCTCACATTTCTCCTTCCCCAGAGTCCTGCCTGCAGCACTGCAGCAAGTCAGCGCCAGGACAGCTGCTCTGGGCCACACCACCATATCCTACTCTAAACAGAACCAGAGTGGGAGCAACACAACAATTCTGCACCATGCAGGCACTGCTTTTTTGAGGCACATCTCATTGTGAGATTTTGGCACCCAAAGATCTCATTTTGGCACCCAGGCTCAGCTGTGTTGCCCAGCTCAGTACACCAGGTCCCCGCCTCCTGCCATATAGAGGAGTCCCGTCTTGATCTGACAGAAAGAACCTGGTGTTTGGTCATGCTCAAACTAATTCTGCTGTAACCAGAGAACCACGTGGCCCAGCTGCACTTTAACATTTCCATTCCTGCACAAGCTGCCAATGTCCACATCTGAAAACCTCCTTCCAGATCAGGGTGGGGAACCAAACTGACTTGACACCTAATCCCTGTCACTCACAGAATTATCTCCAACAGCCAGAAGTGTCTCCAGGCCTGCTTTAGCCCCACAGGATAGTGAACTCTGCCAGGCAAGGAACCGAAAGCAACAGCACCTTCTCCTGAAGCAGAGAAATAATGGCAACAGGAACTGTGATCTCCACTAGAGAACACTCAGAGGGCTGTCACTGCCTCCATGACTGGCTACAAACCAGTAGGAAACTTCTGCTGACCACCACAGCCACTGTTGCAAAGGTGCTGGTGGGGCTGGCAGCGTGAGAAGCATGGCAGTAGCACTGCCTGGAGGATCTACAGCCCCTCACCACCACTCACAGAGGGGCCAGGGGCAGCATGGCTGCCCTCAAGATGGCCCCCACGTCAGAGGATGCAGAGTCAAGCCCTACCAGAGGCACAGTCCTCCCACACAGAGAAAGCACAGTGCTGTGCCCTGCACCGTGGGATTTCACATCAGGGACTGTGCCCGGCCGCTCTGGCACAGACCTCGCCAAGCACTCAATTACCTTGGCCTATAAAACACCCTGTGATTTTGAGGTTACAATAATCATAACAGAGCAGGCACAGAAATCAAACAGCTTCCCAGAGCCACAGAAACTCTTGCAGGCGTCCTGCCCACAGGCATTCCCTGCACCCGAAGCAACATTTTTGTCAAAGGATACAAGACAGTTACAGAAGGAATTACTCTACAGCAACTACTTCACCTGAGCCACACCCTGTTCTGACTCAGAAGCTAAAGCACCAGCCCCACCCGCAGGCCTTGCACTCCTGGTCACTGCCTCACAACACTGGCCTCAGCAAACTGAGGGGAAAGAAGCAGCACTGCCTCCTGCTGCAAGAGCACTCACAGGTTTCAGTTCTACTCTCGCTGGATTGGGGCAGATCAAACCCAGTCGAAAGCAGAGTCTAGAAACAATCACCAAGGCTAGCTCCAGACTTTAGCTAACAAGGCCATAGGCCCAACCTTCCTAACATTGCTGGGGCTAAGTAGTGCCCAAAGGAAGGAGGTTACAGGTCCAGGGAGGACACTGTGTCGAAGAAGATCCCACATCACACGGGTTACCATAAGCTGCAGGAAGTGATTAGTCAAATCTGCTTATCCTGCAGCAGATGGCTGAGAGGCTCCCAGGCTGCGGGGCTGAGACACCACAGGCCTGCTCACCAGGGATGCTGAGGGGCTCTCACCTTCCTTGCTTTCCTGATTGGCTCGATCCTTTTGCTTCTTCTTGTTGGTGGCATCATCCAAGCCCCGAGACGCTCTCCTCTGGCCAGGGGCATTTGTGCTGCTGGACATTTTCAGCCGTTTGGAGGACACAAACAGCCCGCCGGGGTCGCTAATGGAGTCTGGGTCAGGGGTGCGACGTTTTCTTCCTGGCCCAGCTATCTTGGCGACTCTCTGTGGTCAAACTCTCTGGCAAGGAAGTAATGGCCTAAAGAGAGGAAACAGCAAGCATGGCAGGAGGAGCAGGTGGAAAAGACCCAACAGCAGCAGGATCCACTCTTTGCCTCAGGGCCAGTGCCCTTACATGACCTTCACCATGTTGTTTATGGGAAGCCCCATGCAGCACTCAGTGAGGAAACCTACCTCATCACAGCTGCTACAATGCTTACTGCCAAAAGCATGGGCTTGTCAGAGCTCCCAACATACAATCAGGGGTCTTCAGTATGTGGCACGCATTAAAAACCTGGAAAGCAAGTGTCATGCTCATGGCTCCCACTACAGAAACACCGGCCCAGAGCAGCTGCTGGCACTAACACCCCGAGACACAGCTGAGGGCAAGGACATGAGGAGGCCTGGATCTGCAAAACTGAGCCTCCAGAGTCAACGGGGGGAGCCTGTCACACAGCTTGGAGCGACAGCTATTTCAGTCAAACAGTGTCCTGTGCAACAGCGCCAGAATAGGAGCCTGTAACACCCTAAGAAGGAAGCAGGCCTGGGACAGGCTCCCATGACAGATGAGAGCAGAGCTCCCTGGCGAAAGGAGAGTTCCTCCCCCTTCTCCCACTAGCTGGGAACTTAACCAGCATGACTGCACCTTGAATATTTATCCCCCAGCCAGTTTACAGACAGCGTCAGCGGGGCCTGGCCTGGAAACAGGACACCTCTGCTCCTCGTGGCCCAGGAAGAGAGTAGGCTGAGCAGGGCATGTGAGTTGTTCACCCTGTCCCCTTTGTAGACATGCCCTCCTTACAATGCCAGCTCCCCTACAGGGTTTGGGAGCTGCTGGCCCAGGTGCACTCATCAGTGTCACCCCACAGTGTTCAGGGCTTTGAGAGAGCAGAGCCAAAACAACCCCTGCAAACAGTCCCACTGGAGGTGTCTCCATGGAGGCGGTGAGAGCAGAGAGCTGGGAAGGTTTCCTCCCTCGCTGCCCTGGCTGCACACCCCGACCCTGGCAGTGCCTGCCAGCCTGCAGGGGTTTGCAGCACAGAAACAGGCCCAGCCACTGGGATCCTGCCCACCCCCAGGTGCCAGCTGCCTGCCACAGTTCCAGGGCACCGTTTCACACACAGCCCACGGCCCAGCTCCCATGTGAGGACGTGGAGCCAAGCCCAACAACACCTTGGCCTAGCCCAGCTCCCCTGAGCCTGCCTCTCCTCCAGTGGGAGGCAAGCTGTCCCTCGGGAACACCCTGTTCTGCCTGCACCCATGTGCAAGCACAGACCCCTCGCTGTGCAGGGGCACGGCCATGGCAGGAGGCAGCTCCAAGGGAGGCACCCTGACAGAGGAAGGACACTGCCACCTCTGTCCTGCTGGCCCCATGTTGCCAGGGCATTTGTTGCCTAGAAATGTCTGGGGCAACAAGCAGCCACAAATGTGGAGCTGCAGCCACAAACCGAGAGGAAGCCCAGAGATCAAAGCAGCCTGGTGCTGCCCTCAGCTCTGGCAAAGCCAGCCCCATGACCGGTGCTGCATCCAAACCACTCCTCTCAGGCCAACCCACCCTCACCACCAAGAACCACTGAAGCCAAGGGAAAAGCTGAGTCCAGCCCAACTGCCTGGCACAGACAACTCCTGCCACCCACGGTGGAGAGGCCCAAGTGATCTGGAGACTGAGATGCTGAGCAGGGTTCAGCATCAGTCCCAAAGAGCTTGAGAGTATGGGAGGGCAGCAGCATCATCCCCATGCTGCTGCACTCACTGGGTCTCTCCAGGATGCAGAAGCATTTCTGACTCCAGATGGAATGGGAAGGGCCCCCACAGCAGGGAAAGTGGCAGTGATTCACCAGGCTAGGCCTCTGATGCCAGCTGCAGGCTGTCACTCAGCTCCAGTCCCCTGGTGCTGAAGAAGCTCACCTGGGCTTGGCAAACATGGGAAAGCATTTTTTGTTGTATTTCTTTTGCCTCCAGGGTGAAAACCCCAGGAGAAATAGGACTCAACAAGCAGTGACTGCCTCATGCAGGGTCAGGAGAGGCCCTGCCCTGCGCCTCCAAAGCGGTGGCAGAGGATAACTGCTGGGCAGGGCTGAAAGCAAGCTCTGAGAAGAGTCCTGGAGGGCTGAGAAAGGACAGGCCTCTGCCCAAGAAGGGGTGAGGAAGAGAGGCAGGGTTGCATGGCTGCTTGTCACTGCTCCAGGAGAAGCCTGCTGCTCTCACACCTCGCTGAGGCTCAGCTCCCCCAGGTGCTTTGCTGCCAGCCATTCCTCACAGCAGGCAGGAACCAAGGGGGCTGGAGCTCTGCCCATTGCAGCTGCCAGACTGATGGCAGCCCGAGGCTGCTGCACACACCCCAAGGTTTTGGAGGAGTGAAGGGAAAGCACAGGTTCCTCAGGGATTAAAGAGGTGAATAAGATACTTTTTGCCACCAGGAAACGCTCACACGGGCAGCACGTTCAGCCCCTGGGTGCACAAAGGTTTTGGCACCACCCCTGTTGGCACAGTAGGAGTCACTGCAGGGGAGAGATGGCGAAAGGCTGCTCTGGCTAGATGCCAGGTGAACCTCTGGGACACACCTGATGAGCTGGGCACTCCCACAAAACCTTACTCAATCCCCAGAGCCAGGGAAGCGTGGCCATGCTGCTGCAGGGAGCAGAAGTGCTTCCCTGTCCTCTGTTCTCCCTGCCTTTGTGCTGTGGGGTGAACCAGATCCAGATCCAGCCAGGGATTTCTCCTAACTGTGTCTTGCCCCCGAGCAGTTTCCCAACCCAGCTCATGCTGAGACTGCAAATATTTTGACTGGCCAGAGGAAAGGGAGCAAGAGGCCAAGGAGAAGGGCCACTCCTCCCCAGAGCAGCACCAGACCAGGAAGGACAGCACAAAGGGCTCAATGAGATGCAACTTGTGTCCCATGCCTGGGGCAGGTTTAGCACTTGGCAGGAGGAGCGCCCTGATTCTTGTCCACAGCACTCCCCATCAGTGCCCAAAGGCCTTTCCAGGGGTAGCTGCAGACAAGGTTGGCTATCCCAACAGCATCATCTTTCCAGGGACTTTTGGATCCTCCATGTCCTAAACACAGCTAACAGAAACATGTCCCCCATGTACACAAATACTTCAGTCACCTTCTGTTTCTTGCTCCCCTGAGGGACCAGAAATCCCAAGGCTCAAGCTTGACTTTTATTTTTGTTTCTGGGCATGCCTGACACACGGGTGGAGCCAGGGCAAGCACAGAGTCCCTGGGGCAGCTACTCAAGCCAGCACAGTCACACAAAATGTTTCCAACCCACGTGGAAATCACTGTGCGCCCAATGCAGAGTGACAGCAGTGAGCCTTTGCTGAGTGGGGAACCCGGCAGGCCCAGCTCCCTCATTCTGGGGTCGATCACTGAACCACAGAACGGTGCGAGCTGGAAGGAAACCATGGATATCACCTAGCTCCAACCCGCGGGCCATGGGCAGGGATGGTGATGAGAGCGTTCGGAC